ACCTCCCGCACCTCAATAGTCTTCCTCCTGATCAATGTCGCTTCATAATTACTCCACTCAATCCTCTTATCAATTACATGAGCAGTTAGTACACATCCATTGCCACAAGCCATAGCAACTTGAGTGCTGTCGTTGGACCAAGCAATGGAGTAAATACTTCCGGCGTTAATTTTCTCTAACGAGTAAGACCACCCAGTCTTATCACAGAGCTTAACAGTATTATACGATCCAACAGCGAAGTAATTGCCATTTAGTGCCCAATTAACTGATGTGATTGGATACTCAGCAACTCCACTACTATACAATTGATTTCCACTGCTGTCCCAGAGTTTGTACCGACAATCTTCACCTCCTGATACGATTAATCCATTACTACGATTCCAGGAGACGACGAGGACTAAACCCTCGTGTGCAAACCACTTCCGAGGCTTTGAATTGGAGTTTAAGGATTGAATGGCAAGTTGGGAGCCTTGGGAGAAGAGGATCATGGAGCAATCTGGACTCCAGCTGACGGCCAATACTGGTAATGAGCCTCGGACCATTGTCGACCGCAGCATTCCACTTCGAGACCAGATTTTAATGCTTCCATCTTCTCCACTTGTCAGCAATGCTGAGCCATCGAAGCTCCATTTGCCGGAAAGGGTTGCACCCTTGTGGGCATCAACGCTCTTCTCGATTCGTCCGTTTTTGTTCACCAAGTGGAATTTTCCATCTGCTGTCGTTATCAGCAGCATGTCCAGGGACTGCTTCATCTTGCTGCTTCCCACGTTCTGGATGGAACGCGGATGCCACTGCATGTCGGTTGGATTGAAGTCATTGGGGAATTCCACCACTGTCGAGGGATGAGCTGTGCCTCCTTCCAGGTGCCAGCAGATCAGCAGGTGATCCTCTCTGGAATCACAAATATCGGATTTAGATCAAATGGAAATCTGGATTTAGAGTATTTTTCGTATACCAGAGAGTGATTATTAATGAATCAATTTGTTTATTGTCTACTTGTCAAACAAATTTGTTTATTTTATTTGAATGATTTCTTTTATTAGATGTGTTAAACAATTTATATTATTCATGCAAATAAGTTAAGTATTTTTATTTACCCCGCGGAGTAGATTTCTTCTGATGAATTCCAAGCAGCACATGTCACTATTTTCTTGTGTCCGTTGATGTTGTTCCACTTTGCAATTTTGAATCGCATTTTGAAAATGGAAAATTAACAGAGAAAATAATAACAGGACTACCTCAGACAGAGATGGCTCGATTGACTGAATAGTTTTTACGTTTCACCTTCATTGGGGATTCTTTTTTTTGCCTCACATGTGTTTTGGTTGTGTCCGACGCCGTTACCAAGGTAACCAACGGCCGATTCTAATTCGAGGAAAACGAACTGAGGCGGTTTTTCAAACGAGTGTTATCAATTCCGAGATATTGATTAAAAAATCGCTTACAATAAATTCGGTTATCCTAGTTTACACGAGATCTACTGCGCACTCCGTGCGCCGAATTTGAATTTGGCGGTTCGAGTTGACGAGTGAGGAATTAGTCCTACGCGTTTCGAGATATTTCGACTAGGGCGAACTTCATTTTTATGTTTCTACTTTCGTAATAAGGACGAGACCTACTGCGCACTCCGTGCGCTGAATTTGAATTTGGCGGTTCGGGTTGACCAATGAGGAATACGTCCTGCGCGTTTCGAGATATTTCGACTCGGGCGAGATTCATTTTTGTGTTTCTACTTTCATAAAAAGGATCTCGTTAAAAAGCAGTTTTCAGCCAATAGCTTCGAAACTTCTTAAAAAAAAAA